AGGATCGTAATTCTTTCTTGAGCCCTTTGGAGGAGCACCCTAATAGGTATGATTAGAGATTAATAAAAAAATACCTCGAGAAGTTCCGCGATTGACTGCAAGCAATTGATAACTTTGTCGACCTCGCCTACCAGCTGGATAACGCGATCTGTGGAACCGGGACATAACATCTGATACACCTTAAGTGTTCGCAAATTCGACTGTTCGCGAAGTTCTTTGATTTTATAACCACCTCGTCCGATAACGCATCCCGCCTGGCTTTGGTGCACCAAGAGCCGCAAGTCGACGCCATCCTCTCGGTTATTCTGAACTTGCTAGAGGGAGCTATAAATAAAAGCACAATACTTACCCGATTGAGGACATTGGTCAAAATTTCCATAATAGAGCCCATGTCACCATCCAGAACAAGAACTCTTAAAAGAAAACACAAAAAAAGAAATGAGAGGAGAGGCCAAAAACCACCTAAGAATCTGTCACTTAAGGAGGCATACCTCTCAGGTCCGCAGCTGTCCGAGATGCTGATCTTAACAGAATACTAGTATCGAGGGGCCGTTCAAAAGGACAAAACAAAACCCACCAGGAGAGGGGCACCAGTCATAAGCAAGCACGAAAGTCGTGCGGGTATTGATGGGCGCGGGACGAGGGCCGGGGCAGGACAGGGCGGGACGGGTTTCAAGACCATTGGTAATGAAGGATTCAGAGCATTTGGATCGGGCCAAAGGTGGAGCGGGAACGGGTTGGGGCGGAGAGAAAAATAAGCCTACATATTACAATTCATTCAAAGCGGATGGAACCAAACATCCATGGCTAAAAATACCAAAAGGGCCTACCTCCTCGCGTATTTTGTTGATGTTTTCGCCTCCTTTGCCTATGATGACTCCCGCAGTCTGAAGATAAAATAACAACAACAATGTACCTTGAATGATATGAGAAATCGCAGCTCCAGTTTCGGGCCCTCGCCTCGAGGCATCTTCTCTGGGGGTTCGTCTAGCAGGAGTGATGAGTTGGTTTGTGAGAAAGGGGGGACACCCTCGCAGTTTTCCATCTGAGCCAAGTAGGCAGTCTAGTAAGGCTCAACAGCAGGGCGCATAGGCCAACGAAAGGGAGAGGTAGGGTGGAAACACGCAGCGATTCAAACACGGAATGACTATATCAACGGAAAAGAATAAACTAGAGCTTACAATAATTTTAAATCCATGTATTGATATTTTTATTATAAATAAATTTAATAATAAGTAGTTAGTGGATTATTTTAATAGAATAAATATCAAAATAGACTTATTGACAGAATATTCCATATAGAAAGCTCTGCATACAAGCATATTGGATAGACATAAAACTTGTATAGTAACGAATAAGTCCACTGATGACGCCTCCAAATTTATAATATAGCTTTATGCATCCAATTATTTGATAATTCATCCTAAGACATAATCGATACTAAGTGTCTTATGAATTATTCATCTATGTTAATAAAGTACCATAAATCATAGAATAAGACATAAATGTTGAATATATCTATCTGGATACAAAAATCCCTAAACCTTGTCAAATTTAATTATCAAGCCAATTTGTCCCTTTTTGAAGAAAAAATACGCAATTTTGCCTCGTAATGAAGTCTGACTAGATTTAGGGACATTAGTACAGACAGATAGCATTGTTGATCAATTTGTCTCATTATATGGTTTATTATAGTTAATGTTCTTCGAGCCTGCTTTGAATAGGACTTGCGTAACTAATTATTTAAAGAGAAAGGAAAGAGATAAACAGAGCTATCTGATGTTATTACTCCTCCATATAATGCTGTCTGCCAGTGTTATTATTCAGATTACGAATAAATTGCAAACATTGAATTAGTAACACCGTTTTAACATTGTCTTATCTGTTAAATATATTTTCGAAAAGATAATTTGACTAGAATTAGATGGCGTCTAGAATAGCATAATATCCTAACTTCGTTGGAATCTCGACTTAGCTGAAAAATTCTCATTAGCATCGTGCACCACATGGTATAATTAAAGAGACCTGTAAATATTTATCAGCCGAATAATTTTTATAATCTCGTATGAGTTATTGCTTAAACCTTATCTCTCATTTGAATTCCAATCATTTTATGCCATCTCTGTTGCCCAAAAAATAAGCTTCCCCTTATTAATGAAAGTGAAAATTAGAATTCGCATTTTTGCAAGGGCCACGGTATGACCGAATATGCGAAGGGAGAGGTCGCCTACATCGAAGATATTCAAATGACCTCATTGAGATTTAGGGTTAAATTAATTTGACTAGAGAAATATTTTAAATTTATATGATGCCGATTTGATCCAGTTTTCCGCAGGACCCCCTCAGCATGCTTGGAAGCAACCGTTTCGTCTATTTGTTTCAAGCAGAACTAAGGAAGTTGTAAACCTAAATAAATAAGTGACTATCGCACTGCTTTCACATCAAATTAACTATAATACGTTGCCTCCATTAGACCACCCTATTTTTTTTCCGAATTCGCGAGCTAATAAGTTAACTCTATATGAAGCTACTCATGATACCACATAGTTTGTACACTCTATCCAATTCTTTCGGCGAATTAAGGCACGACTATTCACGAGCTGGTGTTGTCACAAAAGCACCCGGCCTCATTGATTCACATAATCTGAATAGGCATCATAGTCGGTGTAAAATAGTATATTTTGGGTAAATAAGTAGGTTACCGATAAACCTCATATGACATAGTAAAATCTAAAAAACCTGCTATTGAATGAAAAATAAGTAGTTTAGCTAGCTCCTATGGCAAATACATGTTTGTCGACAATCCCTCTCCGGAATAAAATATGCGAAAAGTCCCGCTACCTTCCGATTAACATCCACCCTGTAACTCACAGAGACTAGCGACAATGAGGCGTCGTGGTTATCGCATCGATTACAATCCACACTTTCAGGATTCGAGTCCCGCTGGAGACATTGATGGGACCTAGGCGTGATCGAATCTGCAGTCCATCTCGGATAAGAATACCTTTCGGAAGGCAAGGCCATATGGAATTAAATGGAGGCGTATGGCCTACCCATATCATTGTGGGAAAAGTACCATTCCTTTGCCCCTTTAAATGAAATAAGATGACCATATACTACCTAAAGTGGCTACCCCGAATTACCTAGAAAAGCCAACGCACGCCATCCGCTCAATCATCTGACAAATCCTCCTATTCCTTTAGCTATTCTATTGACTGTTTTCTAAATGATGTGTAGCAATCCACAAATGAAATCCGCTCCTCTTATCGATGAATTTAACAATCCCTAAGACCCAGAATCCAGGCTTATACATCCCAGCTCCTTATCGGTACATTCATAGCATTCAGGAGGGAACAACTAAAGCCTCGTGTCCTATGGAATTTTTTTTGGCACTAAGACATGCTTTTTACTATAAATTGGCATTATGCGATTAAGAGAGGTATCTGAGATTTTGCTACCACACCTTAGGTCGCAAGTTTTTTGACACCATGGTCCAAACGTACACCCTACCTCCTAGCTTTCCCTGGAGGTGCATCATGTTGAGTATCCTTGAGTCTTAATTAAGGAGGGTTTATATGTTGCAAAAAGGACTTTTCAAAGAGATGGCCCCCCTCAGGCAGGTTCGCGTAAAAATAATGCGTAACAAATACATGAGTATATTCTACCATTCTATTATTGGGTAGTGCCACCAATTCGTTTGTTCATCTCTAAAAGCAATTTAAAAGCTGATCAATAATTAAATTAAGATGCCACAACGGGGTCTTTGTTAGATAGGCAAGGAGCCAAACTCATAGGCTCAAGCGAACAAATATCTTATTAGAAATGGCATTGCGAGTCAGCCCTTTCGCATACTATCATTTTATCGAAGTATTCGATTTGATGCCCGGTCAATAACTTGGTGCAAATGAGACAGTCTTTTGAAAATCTCGAAGCCTTCAGTTGGAAAGGAAGTCTGATTCAGACTAAAAAAGGAGATGAAAGCCAAGATGAAGAGTTAAAAACCACAAGTTAGAAGAATGAAGGATAGGAGAGTAAAGGATAAAACGAAACAAACAATTATAATAATTATGTAAGTCACAAAATGCCCAAGTTTGCGCATATTGGAATGGATATTTTGCTAATCTACTAAATACGTGACCACTTCATATTAAGATGCAATAAACCGAGAGGTTAGTAAGAACCAGCATCCAGATTCTCGTAGCAGCTGATGGAAGAAGTCAATCGAGTAAGAGAATATGAGAACTAAGAAGAAATTATAGAATTAAGACAATTCTTTTTGCATATTCGGAAAGCAGTAACCTGAGGTCCCAGTTAACAAATATAGACGATGCAGAGCCTGGCGACTCATTGATAGATTAATGTAAATAAGTTAAATCAATTGATGAGAAGCTGCTAATCCAACCAATCCACTTCCAAGGAGGAAAGAGTTGCGCAAAAGGGCACGCCAGTCAGCTGGAACAACATAAGGGAGCAGCCGATGCGTGAGCACATGAACTTCATGGCAAACGCAGATAAAGAGGAAGGAAGTGACCAGCAGATTGAGCAGTGGCTGACCAGGGATCAAGACCAGGATGCCGTGGGCGTCCGCGGCCAGCCAGATATGATATTGAGCTACAAATAACTAGATAAAATAAAACCAGACAAAATACAGAATAAAATGAAGTGAAATAGAGTTTTGGGGAAATTCTACAGATTGAGTAATCACCAAAGTTCAACATCAAAAGCAATCCTGTTATCACGAATAAACTTATTGTGAAGCTAGGCAAATGACGAAAGCTTAAATGAGAACAAAGGAAATGTAGCATTCGTCCTATGCAATCTCTTTATTTATTGTATGGACTTGGAAATATATGCAGAAATAATTAAATTACGCGCTAGTTAACCGAGCCCAAGACCTGAAAATTGCAATCAGTAATTTTTTCCCTGATCCAGATCCACATACTGATAGGGGGCCCCGGCAGAGAGCTACTCCAGATATATAATCAGCAACGCGACCACTTGCATCTTACCATTGACCTTCCGACTGTCCCTATTAACCTACAGTTCCAGTAAATTACTTATCCGTTTGTTAACTATGTAACTAATATATTATATGTAGATTATATTCAAGTAGCACGTACTATAAAGTGCAAATTCGTAGGCGGCTTACCTCCAGTGAAATTTTACCAAACCATGCGAAGAAAGTGCTGAACGAATTACGAAGATAACCAAAGCAGTTGCGCACCAGAATGTACGATATAACCTTATAAAAAGAGGATATACGTGTATATATAAATGAAAATAATAAGAGTAATGGCCTACGAAGGTTATAAAAGCTCAAAACCTAATAAATATGAATATAAAAAAATTCTCGTAGATATGAAGACCATGATGATGTAGCCTTCAATTTGGTCTCATTCTCCTTTAGCTTTATCGTGTTGGTTCGACCTCGTTTTCGCAACCTGATCCTATTGTCAGGAAGATCTAGAGGAACGCACCTTGTACTTCGAAATGAAAAGTCATGTCACAATGCGTCACTAAGGAAGTCTTCAAAACTCAGGCTTTATTCATATTAGTAGATTAGTTTTATTATAGACATATGCATGATACTTTCAAGAGTTGGACCATGGACCTGATACACTTTCAGACGTTTCGCAAGCATCGTCAGCGAGCCTTGGCGTTCTTAGCACCACATTACAACCCGTCAGAGGTAAGTCAAATCGGTTCTTTGCCCAATCGTCCCTTGCACCTGCCTTCCCAAATGAAATGAACGGTATCACAGTATCATGTCTATTAATAGTTGTGATGTGTCAACATATCCTATATCCTCGTAACCCACCTTCACCAACACAATTTGTTATCTGTTTATCTGAACCTAGTTCC